AGAAATTGTCAGTAACTTGGGTAAAATAATGTACATAAAAACTGTTTGACACTTAGAATAGCGACATTTCTGGGAGTAAAATACAATTTTAATTTATCTTCATCACCCCTAATTACAATCAGTAAAATCACTTTACTAAATCTTTACTATTATTCCAAAAATTCCATAAATGCATTCGTGTTTAGTGCACACTAAAATAGCTCCACGTGTGCGTTCTTTAACCCAATTTCGGATAAAAAATACACGAATTAGAGATTTATTTTCTTTCTCTGTTTTACGAACGAGAATTTTTTCAGATTTACATGTAATATTTTAGTCGCATATTAAAACAACCGAAGTTCAGTGCTGCTAATGATGTTACTAGTTTCAGTTCGACATACTCTCCAGACAATCAACAAAACCCAGACAATAATCTACAATAGTAAGTTTGAAAGAAAACAACATACTTAAAACATTGAAACCAGGTCTTCGAAAAATTAATAAAAGTACCAAGATTTAAATTTAAAAATATTGAAATTTAGGAAAATGGGGTGTAATGCGAAATGAGTGTTTCGCAGATATGATGGAGTAACTGAATGGGGAATGTACCACGGTTATGGCTGAAAGAGATGTTTCTTCTTTGTGCGCTGTTTTATTTAATAGTTTATGGTGATGTCAGGGAGATAGACATCAATCATCCGTTTATCTTTATCCGTTCATCATGCGTTTATCTTCATTTGTCATCCTAGCTTTAACTCTTATCGACGGTATCAAGTGTCACCTCAACTAATAAGTATAAAGTATAATAGCATGCCAATCGGTCACAAGCTGATATTATTCACCTATTTTTTTACCAAATTCCCAAAATGTGTTAAACTATTAAATGAATTAATATCATAAGTGCAGCTGCAATTTCCTCAACAGAATAATTTGAATATTGCCTGTCATTACGAAATTCGACATAGTTTTCATTTAGAAAGAGTAATTGAAAATGATAGCATGTTTGCAGAATACGTAGCTTAATTTACTATTTAGTCTCATTTTGAAGGACCATGTTTATAATTACTTAAAAGGGTGATCTGGAAATATATTGCTGAATTGGAAATATTAGACAATTTGTTGAACTTGGTTGCGCTAAAATAGCACTTGATGCTTCAACTTACTCTGTTTTTATCGTAGTACATGTTATTGGGTTATTATCTTAATTAGATTTCAAAATGCACGACGAATGTTCAACGATTATTCTGAAATATCTTGCCATCATAAACACCCTTGCTTTGTAAACTGTATTGTAATGAAGTTGAAAGTCGCAATTTTTAAATCAGAACATCTTTAATGAATGAGTTAGGGAATGTCACAATGTCAAATCGGATTTACAAATAAAGTACCTATAAATACAGCCGATAAAAAGGGATTATTTAAGTATTTTAATGCTCAGGAATTATTATGTCCCATTCTTGAAAATTAGATGTTAATATTAAATAACGTATAAACACAGTAGCAAAATTAAAATTTTTCTCTGAATGGAAAATTAGCCAAACAGAATTATGTTTTCTGGAACATGAGAATATACGTAGATATATCAAAAACTCAAGAACAAAACCTCCCCTGTATTAAAAGCATTTGCAATGTGCTACAACTGTAATGAAAACGTATAATTTCTTTTTTTGTCACATTCCCCCTCTCTACTCGTTCGGTATCAGTCGCACACGCCCCAGGTAAGTCAACTTGACAGACTCGCAAGGTCTGGGTTATTTCCTTGAGACGGAATTACGAAGAGGCTGCTCAATTCGTCGCGCGCTGTTGCCGCCTCCAGATACACCGCCGTTGCCGCCACCGCCTTCTGTACACCGCAAAAGACGCGAAGCCCCTAATCTTGGTCCGGAAATGTTGGAATGTGGCTGGCCTAATTGCACACAAGATTGCGTCGAGTGGAAACAGGGAGGGATATGGAATCTCGCTCTTTCATTATTCCAACCGCGCAATTTCCTAATGGCTAATTTAGTTACCACAGTTGTATGCTAATATAAGTGAATTGACTGTCATTGTTCGTGTAGCACGGTGCGTGTTTGCCTCAATAGTATGAACTGCCATTCTTCCCTTACATTGGGCTATATTTGATAGAATGGGTGTTACATGATTAAAGGCGCTTGAATTTATTGGAAATAATGTTTCTGCCAAATTCTTTTTTTTTTAGAGAACAATCATCAGATAGTGGAAGCTATTTGATAATTACACTGGTCTACAAAAACTCTTTTTGTAACAAGGACAAAACACTCTACTTCTGGAAGATAATTTGCCTATCAATCCAAATCTAATTTCAGAACTTCTGTATCGGCCTCAGTTTTCATGTGATGACAGTTTTTGTAATTGCGTTTGTCTCCTTATGTATTATACTTGTATGTATTTGGCAAAATGACACGGTCTAATAACAACAGATCCACATGTATGCAGTGAGAAATACATCACAATATATGTTAAGAAAAATTAAGAGGAGCTTGGAATGTTACACAGTAGGTTTGAAATGTGTCAGCATGGGTATCTCTTCCTCTGAATGTCCGTCGCTGCAGCATTCATCTTCATTCACTATCACGTTCTCTGGAGGTAGTGGCAATTCTTCCCCGTGACACAAAGGGCTTATAACAGATGATACATTAGGTTATTCCAGTTTTCTTCGTTTCTGTGGTTATTCCAGCTATTTGTGTCAGGCAGAAATAACAATGTTTGGCTTGTTGGTTCTCTCCAAATCATGGGAACAGCGAAGAGCATGTGTTGTGAATCTTTCGACCAGCGTGTCAGAAGTGTAACCCACGACACAATTACATGGGAGGTTCATTTCTTGTCCTGGTCGCCCACCTTACACCAGAAATACTGTTCATAACACTTCCTTACCAAAGGATTGAAGTTCGGTTTCTGCGATTTCAGAGTGAATTCTCCACAGGTACAACATAGCATATTTGGGATTTTTACACAGTTATGAGAAAATTTAATAATATAATAATAAAATTTAATAAAAATGCGTTTTATTATAATTATTTTTGCATTAATTGAGAGTCACTATTAATTACATTTATTGCGTTCATAGGCAGTCATCGCACGTAAGTGACACTAACATTACGAAAGGAATAAATAAACCTCTGAATTACAAGGGTTCACTAAACGCCTGAAAGCTCAATTGGTTATAAGGATGCAGTAAAAATACTATAAGTATTATCTGCTATCTAAAAGCTACGTGAACCATAATGAAGTATCGTAAGATAATGAATCTGGTAACTGAAAAGTATGAACTTTTCAGGGGTTATGTTTTCTCGTGAATTTTGTTGACCACTGTGGAGTCCTATGCATCGACTCCATGGAAACCATTTCATTACGTATTTTGTTTATTTTATGTGTTTGGATGTTTTTCAGTGCAGTTGGCAGCAAAAATGATTGCATTCTTGCGCAATCTATGCTTCACCATGATTTTATTTTCTGTGAAAATATTTTCATAGTAAGCTGGAGCTTCTAATTATTGGCATTTATATTCAGACATTTTTATTTTTATTCGTCATATTACTGAAGAAAGGAAAATTTATTCGAAATATCGCCTGATTTGATTTACATCCAGTTAACGTTGTGTAGGAAATAAAATCTCGTATTAATTATAGTAAATTCCTTGGGATTATGTACTTCACCAGCGAAATTATTTATTATTAGCAATGTTAAAAGTGATCAAATAGTTGGAGGATGACCTTCCATTATCAGTCAAGTTAATGGCCAGTATTGGGATAATGCATTATTGTAATAATTTAGAAAGTGTGATGCCGGGAAATAATTTGTAATGTGTCGATTTGTGATCATGAATGCCGAGACACTAATGGTATAAAAAGGAATTATAACTGTGATACTTTCTAAGTCTCCATCCCAGAGGTGAAAAGCAAACTTTCGACCGTTTCTACTACCATTAAAATATTTCTTCCGGGCTGACATGGAAGGAAAGATAAAAGTATAGCAAATGGCATCCAGAAGTCGAACTGAAATGCATATTGTAGGAAAGAGTAGTAGTAAACTATACGGTTTACAAAGTCGAAAACAAATGGCACAAAAGTTACATAATTTAGGTGATCTCAAACAATCAGATCCAAAGGTAGCCACGCCCCTTTCCCGTTCTCCGGCGTTCCTCATGCCTTTTGTTCACCCAAGCGGTATCTTCAAGTCCTATTCCAGATAATTATCATTGCTGCGTCACGATAGGATAGATTACTGGAGTATCAACACAAAAGCTGCACTCACTTTTTTGATTTTATCTGAATTGGTAGGGATTTCCCTGGCAATGCCCGATTAACCGTGAGACTCAAAGACAAACTACCACTCTCTGAGTTTGCCCCTCCTAGGATTCTCTGATAAACAAACAGGAAGAGTCTCTTCCCGTGATAAGTAAAGCATCCTCTAGGAAGACATCAAATCGGAAGGTGTGGTTTGTTGGAGGAAGCTAAAATCTTCAGATGTTCCCGCACAACCAGGATGTGATATGTTTTCCGTATATTTCGTTTCCTATTAACTGTCCTGCAACGACATATGCGTTGCGAAAAGTGTCGACTGCATGTCGAAATTAATGAAACAGGAATGCAAACAAAGAACGACAGTTCCTCAAACAATGTGCAATCGCTTCCGTTTATAGTGATAGTGAATGGTTAAAAGCGAGTGGGGTAAACACGATTCCACTGCTATTACTAGTCATTCCTTCGAAAATCGGTAGCAAATACAATGTCTTCAAGTGGAGTTCTACGAGTTTTCATATCTTTATGAATATGAGATTTTTTTATTTATGACACTTTCGACATGAAATGTTATTGCTCTTGAGTTTCTCCTGAAAGCTTCCTTTTCAGAAACTATTTTCATAAATATGCTGAGTTGAACAGAACAGCAAACAGTCCCCATTTTAAATACTTTGGATAAAATGTCTGAAAATATTTCCTTTTCCCTCTATTGCAATTCACTAATCAATAGATCAGAACTAGATAGGGCGCTAGCGAACTGACCTGTGTTTCCTGGTTTAGTTCCAGATTTCTCGGCAGATGTTGAGGGTATCCATTTTCTGCCCGATCGGACATTTTCTTCCCAATCGATTCTGGGTATCAGATGACCTGGAAAATGTAATAAGAATATTTTACAAACTGTCTCCTGTATGAACGACAAATCAATAAAATTGTATTTCAAATTATTCTTGTCTTCTTGTTGTTTATCAAAGTGAGTTTCTCAAATCGTCGGTTTACCGGGAATATTGATGCATCTGAATTTTTTATTTTTCTGAAGATATACGTTTCGAAAATATTCTACTTTTACTTTGCTAATAAAACGACCTCTTCTCAGAATAAGACAATTCTCCTAGCATATAACATTTTTCGTTCTAATTTATCCTTGAACCTCTACGTCATTAGAAATAATTTAAAACACTAGTAATTTAAAGAGGTTTCATGTATCAGTGGGTGCCACGTCTAAATGCAGATGTATCAATAATACGTTCAAAGTGAAGGAACATCCACTTCTCTGGTCTTCGCGGTTTTCATGTACGTAAACGCAGTAAGGATTTTTCAAAGCAGAAGGCTACACGAGTAGTAACCAGCAGTCTGGATGCTTTCTTATAAAGAATTTTTGATTTATTTTGAATTTAATTGTTTTATTTGTTAATGTATAATTATTTATAACGTATTCATTTGAGACAATGTTCCTCTATAAAAAACAACTATATTTGAATCCGAGAAACTATATTGGCTTCCAACGAGAAGGCTCAAGCCCCATCAACGTTCCCTTGGGTGCTCCACAGTCCATAATGAAACTTTTTTGAACCACTAAGCACTTCAAGGATTAGGAAAGGGACACAAAACAATCAGCTTTGAAGTGTGCTACCCAATTTGATTGTTCCAATGCGACTATAAGTAATATAAAATAACACTTCACAATTATATCAAAATTTTTAATAGTAAGCAATTATATGTTGCCAATCGGCGCCATTTTTTCTCACGTAGCCTTATAGAAATCATAATTCACCGAGTTTTCTAGACTGAACAAATTGTAAATAAAATGTACTAAAATAATATGTTTAATAACTTTATTTTCAATAAATAAACAAAATTTTAGAACGACACATTGGGAAATAATTCAACACGATACGTTGAACAGAATTCTATACAATTTGAAAAGTGTTTTAAAAATATATTGACAATATAAGAATTCAAAGAGAGCGTTGCAGTGAATATTTAGTTAGAAAGGGCCATAATTTGAACTATTTGATAATCACAGTGAATGGTCAGCAGATGAAAGCATTCCCAAAACTTAATATCACAAAAACTATAATTTTAAGTGTTATCCTTTTTTACTCCTATCCCTTCAATTATTTAATTCCTTAACTTACTATTTGTTAGGTTACTGATATTAAGCGTTTGTAATTTTGTGAACTGTAAAGAGAGTGGTTCATGTTGTGTTACGAACAGTTGAAAGGGTTGGAGATTTTTGTTACGAAATGGAGGAGAGCTTGAAAAATGGTGAAGATTTTTGGGTATGAATGATACGTTCGAAAGTTGTCTTGCATTCTTGGGTGCAACTTGGAAAACAGGGGCAGCCACGGCGACAATGGTGGTGGAGACTGTAAGAGCTCTAGATGTTGGAATGTGGTTGTCCTGTTCCTGTTTGTCAGATATGAAAATTCAGGCTTGCGGTGGTAACCCTACATCAATCCACCAGAGTGGACGACACTTTATAATAGTATTCCGCGAATTTCTGTGTAAAGAAGCACTACTAAACGTATTTGGTTACAACGTATTTTCGTTTCACAATCATAATGTTAATGGTTTCTAATAATATGAATTTATGAAAGTGTTTTTAGAAAAAATTATTTAATTGAAATAAAAATTGTGTATGTAAATTAATATCAACCAAAGTAGTGGCCAAAGTTAAGAAAATGTTTGTAGTTTTTTCGAAATGCTTGCGATTAGTACTAAATTTGTTAAGTAAACCTCATTGACCGAATAGCACACGAATTTCCGCATGATTCCTTGCCTGAAAATGACAAATTTTGAATTTGTTATATTTTTTCATTTATTTATTTCTAAACCACAACTTGTGTTTCGGTAGTGGCCACTTGAAAATAACGAATGTTTTTAGTGATCGTTGTGGATGATTCGGCTCAGTAATATCCAATGCATATTGTACGCCCTGAACTTATTGAAGACAAAAAAGGTCCTATATATTCCTGTACATGATTCTTCATTGTAAAGCCAATTTTAATAAGATGTATTTAGCTTTTTCTATAAATATTGAAGAAAAATAAATTATGTTTGTGGTAAATATTACTACTAGAAGGTATAACATCGACGTTCTGCAACTTTGAAGCAAGTGAGAAGTCTCCAATTTGGAATTTAGTGCTTGAAAAGCCCACTATTGGTGTCGCTATTCTACTTTAAAATTAGAGGAAGTCGTGACGCTCTCTCCAAGAGAGCCCGAGGGAGCATACGCACCTGACGACCACTTCGGGGCTGGCCCTCTCGGCGGAGTAGCGCGGCCCGGCCTTGCCCGGCGGGGCGCGGGGGGCGTACGCCACGGCCACGGGCGGGGCCGGCGGGGGGTTGAAAGCGGGGGCGGCCTCCTCGGACGCAGGCAGCCTCGCCGCCCCCGCCACCGCCAGCACCGCCAGCGCCGCCGCCGCCGCTGCCCACAACACGCTTATTTGCATCTCAACTCAACACACTGCACCACCACGAGCTGCCCGTACGTCTCTCCCGTTTCGCCGGGCGGAACGACACGGCTTTATAGCGGGCGGCGGGTTCCGGTCCCTATCGGCTCTCCTCCTCCGCGCCGTAACCTTCGGCCTATCCTACAGTCGCAAGCCTTTCGGTTATCGGGGAGCGTGTATAAGGGAAAACAGGGCCGCGTGTGTGAAGCCGTGACGTCAGGGTTCCGCGAAAGGCGCGGCGGCGCGGTGACGGCGGCGGCGTTGTCCATGTTTACGATGCTCACGGTTCTGGTTGGCGACTCGCGAAACCGCAGCGCGTGGTCATCCTAGTAGGTCTGCGCGCAGGGCGGCGGACACATGTGTAACGTCCTGGCCGGAAGGGGAAGTCGTGCGTCAACGTGTGCATCGGCTCGCCCCCGGGCCTGGAGGTTGGGCGAGGCGCGCCGGAAGCGCGCCGCTGCACTTGGCTTCGCCCCTGCGCACGCGGCCGCGGGCGCGCGTGCAGGTGATAAGCGCAGGGAAGCGGCGCCATCTCCTCTTATCCCCTCGATATCCTCCGCGCTTCACGCAGGGGCGTTGTGTTTGACCACAGATACAGATTGCATCTCTCTGTCAAGCTGAAATTGGAAAATGTATAACTCGCCTTATCGTTTTTATTCTCTAAGATACCACCTTTTTCATGTTACTACACATATTTGTTGCACTCGGGTTATCAAGATGGCTGAGATCTCTCGGACAATACTGCCGTAGCGATCTCTGACCGGAAGACCGCGGGTTCTAGTCCCGGCTCGGGCATGGGTGTATTTGTGTGCGTCTAATGTGTGTGCCGTCCTTTCCTCCCTCACCATCATCATCATCATCATTATCTCATCGTTCAAATCAACAATGCTGACAAGCTTGGGGGATAAGAATCGGTATTCAGCTAAAACGCTGATCCTCCCCCCTGATAAAAGGAATTTCTATTAGTAATTGTTAACTGGTATACCATAATAGTTATACCACAATTTCTCTCCGAATGATTTTTTGTAAAACTCATTTGAAATCGAAGAGCATTTAAACCAAAAAGTAAGCAAAATATATAAAATCAAATATTTAAAAGTTAATGAATAACGACGATTCTGATAGCGTTGTTAAACACATAGATAAAAAGATATATAATAGTAATTATTAAGACAAGGTTGCTCATTAGTCCCTCTCTTTTTTAAAAATTATCTTGAAGGAGCGCGTAAAAATTGGAAACGGAAGTGTGGCGGAACGGGATTGCCAATAGAAAATTATGTGCTGTACACTCTGCTGTTTGCCGATGATCAAGTGGACATAGCTGGGGGCGAAGATGATGCAAGTTATAAGTTTCGCAAATTACAAGAGGAATATGAAAGATGGGGTCTCACTATAAACCTTAAAAAACGTAGTATGTGATAGCAGGGGATAAAGAACTTGGGGATCGGGATGTCGCTACAGGGAACATTAAACGAAGTGAAACCTTTAGGTGCTTCGGAGTTACCCTCTCTTCGAAGGGAAGAAGCTCTGTTGACATTTACAAAAAGATAGGACAGGGAAAGGGACTGATAAGATAGTTACACTCTATTCTCTGGAGCAAAAATATCACAAAACAGAAGAAGGCTCATATTTTTAAGACCATCGCACAGAGCATAAGTACGGGGCTGAAAAATGCGCATTGAAGAAAAGGGATACATGTAGGTTGATCGCCCTGGAAATGCACTACTGGAGAAGGTGCTGTTGGTTGTACAGGTTGGATCGTATTAGAAATGAAACAATAAGACAGATGATGAAAGTAGAGAGCAGCATCTTGGATTTAATTGAAACAAAAATATTTAATTAGTATGGACTTCTCCAGCGAATGGAAAGCAATTGGTGGCCTAAGATGATCTGGGCTTGGACACCTCCAGAGCGGAAGAAACGAGGAAGATCACCAAGAAGTTGCAGAAAGGACATCCAAGAAGAAATGGAAGCAAGAGGCCTCAAAGACTGAGACTGGGAAGATCGGAAGAGGTGGAAACTGAGAAGCGAGAAGCGGTGACAGCCGTAAAAAAATTCCCAGTCTGTAGCGTATTTCCGCGAACGAAAAGCAACTGTCATTGCTGTGTTATATGTGCGACGTAACAACAATGGGTAACAACCAACAATGACCGCTCACCTGTTCATTTTCACATTTAACACAATTAAAATACGCAATTTAAAATGAAGTAACATAAATATATAATAAATAATAATGAAATGAAATATGAAATAATATACAAATTCTAACATTTGTTGGCGATTCACATCGAGCAGCGCATTCTAACGAGCCAAAAATTACTGCCAGTTCAGTTGCGGGTCATCTAACTGTTAGTTCTATAAAACTACTTAATTATCCAAACAGTGAGTCTAGTGATACGTTATTACGTAATCAGTGTTCCAAGTGGCAGTTTAATGCAAAACACTCCTCAGGGGTTTCAGCATCGTTTTGTGCAAAATCCAAATCTAATGTAACTCCACAAGTAGTGTGGACATCCAATGGTCAACTTCCAGGAGCGATTCTACGCGCAGGTTATCAACAACCAGTTCAAGAAAAACTGAGCACCCTACAGCAAAAAAATGGTCCATGAAGGCGTAGATAAATTAGGTTCCTCGGAAAGTGAAAAGTCAATTCCGGGCGCACCGGAATATAACAGGTACAAGCGCGCCCGGCAAGGGGACGAGTATTGCATAGAATTACGTTCAAAAACAAGTCATGAAAGTAGTAAACCATTGAACGAGAGTAAAAGAAATTAGACTGATTTTGAAACTTCTGGCTATGTTTATAATGTACCAACCCATTGAAGATATTGCAGTACTGGGCAATGTGGTGAGTGAAGACGACAATGCAGTAAATTTAAACACAAATAAGCAGCCAAAACACCGACAATTCCTCCTATTATAACTTTCCTCCAATCTTACAAGACTCCAAAGAAACAACCAATGGTGACTTCAACGCCCGATTAGAAAATAATGGGGTAAAAATAAATTTAAAAGAAATTGAAGATTACCGAAACTTCAAAACATTTCTAGAAATAAAAAAAAGATACTATTTCATTCCTTCAGAGACCCTCTTACAAAAAAGTTTTCAGTATTAATGCAAGACATTACCTACTCATATTCGACGCAAGAAATTTGTAATGTTCTTACTGAACTAAAATACGTTGTAAAAGTGTCTATGTTATATAATAGAAATAAAATGTCTATCAACATGTGTGCAGTATAACGAAAGGACGAAACAAATTCTAGACACTTTACATCTTAAACGTTACGGTTATTGTATTGTACGATTTCAGGCTTATGTAAATAACAAACCTTTTCATTGTGAAAAATGCCAAAGGCTAGGGCATACGTAGGCTGTTATTGAGATCCTAGATGTGTTAGATGCCCGAGTAAGCACCATTATTCAGCGTGCAAAATCAGTTAAAGTTCAACCCCTGTTTTTTGTAACTGCCAAGGTAACCACCCTGCCATCTACCGGGGTGCCGAACAGGAAGGCCAAGGAAACAACCCAATGCGGTAATTTTTATTCTCAATTACTGAGGGTCAAACAAATACCAAACACATGGGCAACAGGAAGACTTAATTACTTCCCGGATTTATGGAAACAAGTCATAATAATACCAATAAGCAAATCTGATAAGGATCACAGTTTACTCTCAAATTACAGACCAATAAGTTGATTACCAAATATAGAAAAGATGTTTGAAAAATTAATCCATAAAAGGCAAAATAGTTTTCTGAAAGAAAACAATATAGTTCCAAAAGAACAAATCGGATTTCACGAACACGCGTCAACTGCCTCAAAACACCCAAAATTACGATGAAGAAGAACAGTATTTTCAGCTTTGACGCCCAATAACTCTAAAAACACTCATAGTTTCGAAAAATTCAGCATGATATTATTTGAAAATTTATTTTTGATGAACACATTTCATTAAGAAAAAATCTATCTTCATAATTGTAGTTGTAGGAAGGGACAGAAAAGTTTTAATTTTTTTTAATAGTCGACAAATCAAGGTTTTCAACCACAATGAGACCTGCACTATTTTCTTGAATGTCTTTCAGACTGTCCACAAACAGAATTTCAACAAAAACCATGAAGCCTTTTTTGAGAAAAAAATGTTTAAGCAAAAATTTAAAAAAAATTTATATTTCATGCAACGTGACGCGAAAAATACTCAAATTTTCTAAAAATTGTACCTTATTTCAAAATCTATCTTTAAAGAACATATTTTATTCAGGGAAAATATCATTTTTGTTTAATATTTTAGTTCGAGAAAGATGCCGAATTCAATTTTAAATTTTTTCAATTTTCGAAAATTCAAGAGTTTTCAACCATTTCACAATTTCAACTAACCTGTGCCATTCTCTTAAACGTCATTTTGACAATCTAACAATAAAAATTTAATCAAAATCCATGGCGCCATTTTTTTTGAAAATATTTCAGGGAATTTATGTAAAGAACCCCTCCAAAAAGTTAAAATATCGCTTTCAAATTCAAGAACCCGCGACGTGAGACATATCGATTAGGGAATATCTTTTTTGGAGATAATCGTCTGAACGGTGTAGCTGCTAGCGTTGTTCACAGACGGACGGACAGACGGTTTGCCGTCAGTCAATTTTTCGATTCGAGTCCCGACCACCGAGCCGTTCTCATCGCAGAGCGCTCGTAAAAGTCGGAACGCTAGCGTAGGTACGGGCCCGCCCGATTCCGACAAACCAGTTTATATTTCAAGAGCTTCTTGTAATAAGTGCAATAAGTGAAATGTAGATTAATCCAGTACATCGAATAACGTTCACCAATGTCATTCGATGTGAATCAATCAACCTGCAACGTAGTCAGCATTGTTTTTTACGTGCTACACAACTCCAACGGTATTCCGCACAGCAACTTCACCTACCACACAGAGAGAGAGAGTGCTACAAACGAGGATTCAGCCTTGAAATCTTCTACGTCAGAAACTTCACGTTATCATGACCCATCGAAAGGTACAACAAAGTACATCGCCAGCGTCAACCAAAGAAAAAAGTCAGTAGGCGAGGACGCTTCCAACAGCGATAACAAAAAACACAGTGAAAATGACAGTAACTATTTTAAAGGTTTTAAACCAGATTTAGCCAGTGCTCCACCCACAGAGTGTTACGATGTTCCCATAGGCTCCGTAGCCCAAAACTTCAACTACCAAAATGAGAATATAGACTTGCAATCTTCATACAGTGTTCCAGTAGGTAACAGACTTTCGGAATTAGTCTCCAAGGAAACCAATTCTATTCCTCCAACTTCTAAAGTATGATCAAACTACACAGTTTACAACAACCAATAAAATCCCCCCAATTTTTCTTGCCGAAATAATTCACATCAACACATTTG